CAGCATTAGCTGAAGCCCTTCCTCCCTGCCTCAGGATATTTGCCTTTTGTTGAACAGGATAGGTTCCTCTGTGCTACTGAAAAACATGCTGGCTTCTGCAACCTAGTTTAATTGAAAACCTCCCTGTGTATCATTTTTCTTAATTTAATTCTACTATTGCATTGACACCAAATTTGCATGTGTATGTGGGAGGGAAAGTGAGATTTTCCACATCATCCCTTCTCCATTGCACACAGAAATGTACATGTAACCATGAAGGGTCCAGATGAATTCATAAATCTGCTGTTCTTTGAGAGCATCCGTCTGTGCGATGTTCTTAGCTTTACAAGAACGTCATCTGTCTGTAATTGGTGTTTTCCTGTTTTAATAAATAGTCTAGTGGAAATTTTCCTTTTCTGCCTTTTGGGAAAGATTTAGGCAGCAGGTACTACCTGTTTTTATGGACAGAATCTCTGTTCTTTAAAACAATACTGAGAAACAATTGCCACTATTGCTTTTGTTGAAAGAAGAACACACTTGATTTCTGCCCGTCAGCTTACCCTTCTCCTCTGACCTGAATCTGATCCACTTTCTGGGGATAGTCCAGAGGTCTGAAACTGAGTTTAGTTGCTGAAAGAGGACTTGACAAGCACCGAGCATCTCTCCTAAGCATGCACTTATTTCTGTTGTGCAAATTCCCCTCGACCAAACCTGGCTCCCTCAGGTTGGAGAGCATGCCCACCTCCACAGACAACACTGGTCATCTCTGCAGCCTACATAAGCAGAGCCAGCTCCTTCCTCTGGCTTTTCCAGCCCGTTGCCACGTACCTGCTGTGTTCCTAGAGTTAATATTAGCAGAGGAAGAGACCTTCCCAGTCAAAGCTTCTTCTAAGCTTTTGATCTGTCAGGCGAGGAGATTTGAGGAAAGATTCCTTGGCCTGACAGGAGAATCATCTGGCTGGTATCTCTAAAACTAATCCACCAGTTAAGGTATGATGATGAACCCACAGAGCCACTTCACTGTTACTAGGCAGCTGAAGGGGAGCGAACACGTCAGTTGACTTGCAGCCTCTGTCATAAGAAAAGCTGAGTCAGGGGATTATAGCAGTCCTCTTTTTGGGTCAGGAGTAAAAAGGTAGTTTTTATTATTTTTCTCCATCTCAAATCTCAGCATCTGACTCTTGTGGAGCAGGCGCTGCTGTGGGCTACCAGCAGCCTTGGGAATGCCAGTCCACCAAGCCAGTTGCTCTAATGGGTGTGTGATACCTTCTTGGTATACTCCATGAACTCTGAGAGGACGGAGTGTGTGTATGATTTGCATATGCTCACTTCTTAGAGCTCACTGTGTTAATTCAGTTTTCTATTTTGCTGTCTACTGTTCAGATATATGTGCAATACTCAATAAGAGATTGATTTCTAACAAAATATTCAGCTTAGAAACAGTACCCGTTAGGCATGTGTTAATGGCTGATGGTAAAGTGTAAAAACAAGTGTGCCACACAGGGTTGCTGTGCATGCATAGTTCTTCTGAAATATGATATTCTCAAATAATATACAAATTAAGGGGCCGTTACTCTTGATCTGCTCTTTAAGAGTACAGCAAGTCATAATATCTGTGAAGCGGGCTCTTGACTTTTTGCTTCCTAAAATGAAATTGCAGATAAACATCACGGCAGACAGAAGTATTTCCTTCATGTGACATTATTAATAGTTCACAACCCATCATGAAGGAGGACAGGGGCTAAACATTCCCTTCAGTTCCATGTAGGTCATATCACCTTCTGGTCTGTTTCTCATTGTAGGCAGGAGTGTGTCTCTACCTATAGACCGAAACCAAACACAGGTTTCGGTCACAAACCAGTCACAGACCGGTCTTAATGTGATAATGGTTTTCAGTCTACTAACTGACTTAAAGATGAAATCAATTCCCTGTTTTATAACTTAGTCTTCAGTTCATGGATATATTGCACAGCTTACCTGAAAGAAGTGTGTATGTAAAAAGCTAAGGTCCTTTAAGCATAGCTATCGTAAGTATTCTGAAGAGCTATTTCTGTTTTGATCATGTTTTTAGGGAAGTGCTAGTGCTTATGGAAAATATGTCATTGATGGCTCTGGAAATTGATATATCACAGCTCTGTTTCCTGGTTTGTCTTTCAGCTGTTAACCTGAGCTTATATGGACGTGTCTATGTTAATTCTGAAAGTTACTTGGTTTTCAGGGTTTTTTTTTGCAGACAACTAGTCATTCCAGGGTAACGTGCAGTAAATTTTTTGTGAGACTGGTCATATATCCTGATTTTATGAAGGCTATTTTATATTTACTTAATTTAGGGTGGTTTGATATTTTTAATTAAGGTAGTTGTATGGGAATCCAATTTTCCCGATAATGGATTCGAATGATGCCTTGCAAAGCAGTAAGAAACCCAGATGACTGTATTTTAATTGATTGCTTCTTACCTGTGCTATTTAATATATGGTTCACTTGACAATTTACACTTTCTACGCAGAACCTCAGCATTTTCAAAAACATGTGCCTAAAATTAGAATAGTAAGTCTTTATTTAGTTCCAAACTTTGGCTGGCTCTAGGGAAATAGGTTGGAGGGTAAACGTACCTTTGAGTCCCTAGGTATCAGTTAAATATCCTATTCTGATAAATAATGATTACAAAAACAGTGGGGAAGGGAACAGCTTTTGCTCCTGGTAAATAAAAGACCTGGTATCAAGACTTTAAACAGTAGGTTCAGAGTTAGAAACACAAGATGTAAAGACAGGATGACGAGATCTCAAGGAAGATACCCAGGATGTGTCACTCACCTGTCAAATGTTAGTTCAAGGGTCTGATGATCCTGTGCTATGAAGTGATCCTTAACCATATGCTAACCCTCTCGGTTCTGGATGCTTTTTTCTTCTCACCTTCTCTTTCCATTCAGTGCCAATATAACTCCAGTGGTTCCCAGTTCAACCTATATTGTATAAACTCCTGTCCTTAAGACCATGCACTCTTGTGAACGAATAAACTCTTAAAGAACCTTTTCAAATTTATGAGATCCATATCAGATGAATATTTCTGTTACGATTTTGGGCATTTTGAGACAGTTGAGGAGAGCAAGGACATCATCGATCTGGAGCTTAAAACATAGTAATAATGAGGCCATTCTTGTTTGTATTAGCTATAGCTATGCTATCAGCATTACAGGATGCATTGTGCTCTTATCAGAGAACCGTCATCTCACAGAGCTTTGTGAGTTATTTCCCAAATGTGATTGCTGTAGGAATGGCAGATGCAGACGTTGGCCCTTCACAGGAGATAAGAGCAAGGCTAGTATTGAGCTGCTCACTAGTAAAAAGGGATGATAAGAGTGCTGCCTCATCACAGAATCGCAGAATGGTCAGGGTTGGAAGGGACCTCTGGAGATCATCTAGTCCAACCCCCCGGACAGAGCAGGGTCACCTACAGCAGGTTGCACAGGACGGTGTCCGGGTGGGTTTCGAACGTCTCCAGAGTGGGAGACTCCACCACCTCTCTGGGCAGCCTGTGTCAGTACTCTGCCACCCTCAAAGTAAAGAAGTTCCTCTTCATGTTAAGATGGAACTTCCTATGTTTAAGTTTGTGCCCATTACCTCTTGTTCTTGGTCAACTCCTTTTTGGGGGGGGGTAGGGGGGGGAAGAAGAGGACAGTATACCGATGTATACGTGTATGTGGAAGAAGTCAAGAGGTGTCTCTATAGGGGAGATATATGTTTGTGGAAAAGGCAAGGAGATGGAGAGATGACAACTGAGATGGTTATGTCACTATGATAGCTTAGGAATGGTTGAAAGTATCTACCTTATAGCTGTTTGCCAGAGTATTGGAAAAGTTCCAGGTGCTGCCCATTTCCTGATTATTCTATAACTAACTCCATACAAATGAAACAAATTTTGGATTGACCCTTTGCATTGCACTCAATGAGTTTATGATCTTGCATTGTAAATACTCATTGTTCTTATGACATGGAAACTAATTCTAAATGGAAAAAAATGCACAGAGCATCCCTTCAAAATTAGAGAAAAGAAAACCAGCTTTTAGGAAAACGCAAGGAATATGAGTATCTTACAAACTTTATTACTGTTTGTATGTTTTACTTTTTGCATGGAACATAACCTGATTTTATTCATTGTTAAATCAAGTGGAGAACTGGATCAACTGGAAATGCAAAAGAAGTCCAAAGAGAGACTGTTTTCTAAATCTTCCACAAGTCTGTGTGTTTGGAGAGGAGAGGCATAAATGAGAGGGAGAGGAGGCAGACAATGTAGCCTTTTTTGTTTTGTTTAATAAAGTTTTCTCTTTTACTTATGTGGTTTGTAGGTTATGGAGGCTTT